CTCTACTCCAAGCTCCCTTCGGATGTCTGAGCTCCTCACCCTATCTCTAAGACTGAGTCCAGCCACTTTACAGAGGAAGCTCATTTCGGTCGCTTGTAACTGTAATCTAATTATTTCGCGGAACCGAAGCTTATGACCATAGGTGAGGGTCGGAATGTAGATGAACCGCGAAATCGAGAGCTTGCCTTCTGGCTCAGGTCTGGTGCAATGGCCACATCACGCTAACTGGCTGTCCATCTCACTCTCCATTTTATCCTCATTTATGAACAACACTTGGGGCAGTAACTCTCACCCAGCCCAGTGGGGGCAATCCACCATTTTCCAGCAGAGAACCATGGCCTTACACCAGGGCCACACTGCCTGCGAAGCGCAGTGCACCGAATTTCTCACACGAGCTGGAGCACCTCCGTTCACATCAGACGCGCATTTCTCCGCGCCGGTCAACAAGCAATTCTGCTCCCAGCTGTTGTTTTTCCATCATGGGTAACTACCCAGCTTGACACATTCGCTTGCGGCTCGCGCAGAAAATAGACCAGACGCCGAAATGATCGCTGCAGGGCCGGCAGCAAAGCTGCGCGGCGTGGCTGGTGTGGATGACACAATTGGTTAACATGGGCGCCAAAAGGAAACTGGCTTCACTTCTTGGCGCTTCGAGGCGATTCGGTGCTTCTTAGACTTAGAGGTACAGACTCTCATCCCAGTGGCTTCACACTTGGAAGTAGACCACCCCAGTACATGCTGGAGGTCACAGTGTGATGAAGCCAACACAACAATATCATCTGCAAAGAGGAGAGATGCAATTCTGAGGTCCCCCACGCTGTGCCTTGAGAATCTTTGAATGAATATCATAAACAGAATCAGTGACAAGGGACAACCCTGGCAGAGACCCAAACCCACTTAAAACATGTTTGTCTTTGTGCTTTGTATGTGGACACAACTCTCACTTTGGTTAACAAGGACCTTATAGCCCAAAGCCACAACCTCATTCCCCCCACAAGACTCCCTGAGGGGACGCAGTCATAAGCCATCTTTAAGTCCACAAAACACACATATATTAGATGGGGAAACTACTGAAACCTCTCCAGCAGCTCTGCAAGGGTGAAGATCTTGGCCACTGTTCCACAGCCAGGATGTAATGCACATTGTTCCTCCTGAATCTGAGATTGATAATCGGTAGGAGGCTCACCTTCAGCACCCTGGAATAAACTTTCCTACCAAGGCTGAGCAGTGTGATTCCCTGATAACTGGAGCACACCCTCTGGTTGCCTTTCATAAAACTGGGTCTGCCACTCCACAGGTACTGTATTCGACCTCCACACGACACTGAGGCCCTGTTTAGACAACAACGGTTTCTCTAAAACGGAAAAGTCCGTCCTTTGCGTTTTAAAAAACTTCTGCGTTTATATGACAACGTTATTGAAACGATCCCCATTCACATGGACCCGCAAAATCTACTGGAAACGCTGTAGTATGCATGCCAGGCCAATGGGTTGCAGTGTAAATTTGCAAAGCAACACCACGGCATGACGCCACGCACCTGCCCTAAATCACCTTCCTCTACAACGCAGTGATTACAAACCAAAACAAAGAAGACACAATGGCGAAAGCATGCACAGATAACTTTGTCTGGATGGACGACGAGGTGGAGTTGCTACAGTAACAGATCTGCACTTCACTTCAAATCAACAGGGTGAGCAGCACAAACAGAGCTCGGCATTGTTGTTGTGACGGTCGACTTTCTCGCGCATGCCTAGTGAGTGGAACCGTAATGCGCACATTTCTGTCCATTCTGACAGTCACTATGTCACATTACGCAATTCTGATGTCATAAAATCGTGCCGTTACTTGGCCAGCAAACATGACACACTACATGATGGTCCACAACAATAATCCTCGCACATCTTTCATGACGTGTGTGATGTCATCTGGTTATTCGTGTCCTATTTTTATTACTTTTACTATTATTTCAGTCACTGTGTCTGTTCATGTGCCAGCTGAAATGTTGTTGTAGTAACATAAAAAGCACCACTAGATGGCAGAAGCTACATTTGAAGTACTGCACGCAAACATGCAAGCCACAGCAAGTTCCTGCAAATGTTTCACAATAAAAGCCTTTTTAGAAAATGAAGGGATTCTCTCATCTGAAGTTAAAATGGGCTTTTTTTTTAAACAGATACAGGAAGTGTTGAGTTTGAAATGATAGCGCGATGCGTTAACTTTATCAAGGCAAACGGGAAAAGATAAAAAGATACAGAGGGAATGATAAATATCGGCCCATTTATAATGTAGTCTGTTTCAAATGAAGCTGATAGCCTCTGCAGTTGAGGTAAGTAAACGCCCCACCAATATTTGTTAATGTTATTACTTTATGTCTGTCTCCATTATAAAGAAATAACATTCTTTGCTAGCTTGATGCTAATGGCAGGACTCACCAAGTTGCTAAAGTGCCTCTCCTGTTTCACCCCATAATTTTCCCCCATTTTACTCTGTGTGGTAACATCCCTAGAGGAACTATCAAAAAGGCTGGGGTGTTGTTGCCGTACAGTTGTCTACGGCAGCAGATATCTTTGTGTTTCTATTGGTCAAAGTGACAGCTGTAATGGGAGAAGTCGTGAACAACAAAAAGAAAGTCAGACACGCTAGACTTTCTGTTGGAATGTCGTGAGGCTTCCCAGACGTGGCGTTGGTTGCTGTTAACTATGACACACTACATGAGATGAAACGATGGATTATCAAGTACGACACTCGTTGTTGTTCACGATCCATGCTGACACCTTACAACGCTGCGTCAGGCTATAATTGGGCTGATATTGTGTAGTGTGAACCAGGCATAGAGAGGTTGTGTGGGCCGGGTTAAAGAGTTCCACAGTATGTTCTTTCCACCGCTTGACAATATTCCCAGTTCCGGTCAGCAGTTTTCCTCCCTGCTTTCACTTCCTGAGGCCTCTCACAGTTAGCCAGAACTTCCAACCAAAAGTCCTTCTCCATAGCCTCCCACTCCCAAACTCCTCTCACACCTGATTGTTTGCTTTGGCCACAGCCACAGTTGCAGCCTCTGTGGCCAACCAATACCCATCTGCTGGCCAAGCAACCAGATGCTTGCTGGCCTGTTCTCCTTCCAGGCTCAAGGAGGGGCCCCAGTTTCCCCATATTTCTGCTCCCATTTGGCTGATTCTTCAGGGTTTCTTGAATTACTCCCATTCTGGCCCCTCCCCTTAGACCACTGTGCCTTGGGAGAACCTACCAGGAGTTATTTGACAACACAGCTCTGGTCAAAGGAACATGCAAACCCCTCCACTACATTAAGGTGGTATATTGTTTGGAATCAGTGTCTCCATTACTTAGCATGGCCACTAGGGGAGCACAAGTTAGATTTCCGATTGTAAAATGACCTTGCAGTACATATTGTTGTCACTGCTCTTTAAAGATATTATTTTACAAGATCCTTAAAAAAATGCTTCAATATGCATTTATGTGGTGGCAAAGTGGAGCAGTGGTTACCATTGTTACCTCATAGTAAGAGGGTTCCTGGTTTGAACCCAGGGTGTGGGAGCCCTTCTATGTGGAGTTTGCATGTTCTCCCAGTGTCAGCATTGGTTTACTCCGTGTGCTCCAGCTTCCTCCCACAGTCCTAGGACATGCACATTAGGTTAATTGGTGACTCTAAATTGGCCATAGCTGTGATTCTGAGCGTGAATGATTGTCTGTCTCTGTGTCAGCCCTTCAATAGTCTGGCGACCTGTCCAGGGTGTACCCTCTTGCCTGATGTCAGCTGGGATAGGCTCCAGCCTCCCGTGACCCCCAACAGGATAAGCTGTTGCGGAAAATGTATGAATGCATTTATGTAAAAAAATTACTATCGGCAAACATATTGTTACCACTTTCGTAAACTTTTAGATGTTTATTGTATCATCCACCAAAATTCTTTATCACCCAGACTCCAATATTTCCAAACTACAGTTTGTGTGTGTGTGTGTGTGTGTGTGTGTGTGTGTGTGTGTGTGTGTGTGTGTGAAATGACTCTCTCTTATTCTCATTTCAACAAGCCTTGCAGTTGAAAGAAAAAAGTACATCTAAGTCATGATTTTCCAGATGTTCAGAGATTCTCAAGTGGACACGCACACATGTGCGCACACCGCTCAGGCCCGAGACAGTGACGGCAATGGCATCACCCACTGACACACCTCCTGGGCTTCTACTTACTCTTTGATTCAGGAAGTTTTCTCTGACGTCAGGTCAGTGTAAAAGCTCTTTTTTGGGAGGCAAACTCATTTAAACAATGTTAATTCTTGAGTCAAGTGCCTGTGTAACCAGGGAGACTCCCAAATGGTCAATGAGAGTCATAAATCCATCCAAATGTTGGCGCTATTGTTGTGAGGCAGGCTGGGAGTCAGACAAAAAAGGTCACATCAGATGTGGACTAATAGACCTGGCCACTCTTCTGAAGTAGGGGAAACATAACCGGGAAGCATGCAAAATTGAAAATGTGGAGGGTTTTAGTCATGGAAACAGGGTCTCTTATGTAACCAGCGTCTAGTAAAAAATGCTATAGTCATACTGTGATCACTATTATTGTAATAATTAATGTTTAAACACGCATGTGATGGTAAAACAATGTAGTGATACCATGGGAATTAGTTCAAATCCCTGTAGAAATAAATAGATTTATGACAAGATACTACAGACATTCCTTTAAGATTTGGAACTTTGATGTGTGTGTGTGTGTGTGTGTGTGTGTGTGTGTGTGTGTGTGTGTGCGTGTTTGTACATGTAAGGTGGGTGTGAAGGTATTTGGGTTCAACATGCAAAGTGAGTAGTTTGGTCTGGTATGACGGTGGTGAAAGCCTGAAGCACAGAGGAGGTGTTGTCATTCCTGTCCTGCCCCCTCCAGGAGCTGGACGTGTGACATCAACAGCAATAATGAAGGCAGCTCATCAATGGCTGGGCCCAGGGGCTATAAAAAGAAGTTGGGGGAGTTCAGTGCTCATCATAACTGATTGGAGCTAACCACCAAACCAGTCTGACTTCACTTTATATCTCTGGTACACAACTTTTACTTTTATTACACTGAGGAGAAGCCACCACCAGAGGTATGTTCACCTTGTTCTACCATATAGACAGACATGTAGGCCGAATAAACCTTAAGTTTATTTTTTTATTTATTTTAAACAAATCAGCTTTTAGGCTGATATTGTGATATTTTTGACTGTTTAATATGTTAACTAGGGGAATAAGGTATAAACAAATACAACTTAATTTGAGTAAATATGTAATTAATTTTGGTCATATCCAATAATCTTCTTGCTTATTTTAACACAAGGCTGAATTCAAAATTTTATTTTAGTTTATTTTATGGCAACAGATTTCCTTTTAAATTCACAAAAAAGACATTTTTTTTAAAACATTCATTTTTCTTTTACCAGATCATCATGGTCAACATGCAAAATCTGGACTTTAAAATTGTGTTAATTTCCCTCTGCATTTTACACCTCTTCACGCTCTATGAGGGGCGCCCCCTAAGGTAAATCCCTCCATCATTATTCCTCATTCAGATCAATAAAGATGACCTTCACTAATACAAGTTAATTACCTCATTTAACGCTCCTTCCTATCAGCACAGTCTGCTTCTGCTACGTTACCAGGTAAACACATTGGCCTAATCCAAACTAACGCACAACCTATTTAATGATCCCGTGAGCAGAAAAAGGACGGTGAGTGAGGTCCAGCTCATGCACAACATCGGGGAGCTCAAGCAGGTGCAGGAGCGTCGGGAGTGGCTGCAGATGAGGCTGCAGGGCATCCACACCGCGCCGGCCCGGGGCAGCAGCGGGGAGGCGGACCGAGCGAGGAGGAGACTGCGTCCCGATGAGCTGCCCGACCTCAGCGACATGACAACGGAGGACATCCAGTACGCTCTGAACCTATTGGATAAACTTCTCAAGTCTAAGCAGTCTTGATTTTCGTTGATTTCATTTGACCTTTTAGAGTACTTTCAGCACACTTTTTATGGACCTGTTTTTTGGGTATAAAACGTCTTATCGTCTAAATGTGTTTTTGAGAATTTTATTTTTATTTATTTTACATTCATACAATTTCATTTTAATAAATGAAATTGGTAGACTATTTATGAAATTTATAGAGGGAAACTGGCTTGACGAGGCAACAATTTCACGTTGTGTATGCACTTTAATGTAACAGGTGGTGTAAACCACTCCTAAAGCTACTTACCTTATCAAACTGAGGGAGATGAAGAGTGGGACCAACAAATGCACTTAAACAACAAATGAAAAATATTTTTTATATTTCTATAACTGTATGAAATGAGCCCTTTATTTTTATAAGTAGCATAGGCCTATGTGTTAGGCATGTGTGATATGTATAAATAAAAAAATGAATAAATTAAATTGCTTTTAATGCTGTCATATTGATTGCTTATTTATGCATTCAGAAATGTATGCTTGCTCTCTGCATTTATGCTAAAGTAGATAGTTATTTTGTCTGCCTGTGCGCACGCGAGGGGGGGTGGGTGGATTGTCCCTTGGAGTGTGCGGTTGTCTCGCGATATGTCTAACGCGAACTCCGCTACCCCCAAACCAAAACAAAGAGTCCACTGCCAAGTATAACTAGTCCATGCACACTGGGGGGTTTCTTCGAAAACTTGTCTTCCACGAATCTGTTGCACAACGGACTGTTTCAGCAACCGGACCAAACGTCAAACCGGAATGTAACATTAACACAAGGAGGTAATGGAAAGTTGTTTTAAACTCTCCTTTATAGAGCCAGCTAGCTAACATTAGCCGCCTAACGGCTAGCGGTAAACACTAAATTACCAGGCTAACCAAAAAGTCTAAAATCCTCTTAGCCGCTCTAAAGTCTCTTCAAAGCACGATGTCGAGTGGCTTCTTGCTTTTTAAATCGCCAGGAAGTTCATACACAATTACATTTCAAAAGCAAGAACGGCATAGTTTAATTTTACACGGTATCAGAATTGAGAACTGATGTCCGAGGCAGAATAAATGTGTGTCAGTATATTTGCTTTAGTGCTATCTGTTCAACTCGCTACTACTACTGGGATATGCAGGGTTAACGAGTAACGGTAGTGGCAGTTCATAGTGCTGGACTGTAACTTACTTCCAGCCAAATTGGCCAGTTTGTCTAACATGAGGAATCATGTTGTTAGAAAAGATCCTTAGCGTTAAATTTGTGAATATCTATTTCATGTTTTTAGTTGATGTAGCCTAGCTAACGTTAACGAATGTTTTATTAAGCTAACATGACAAGCTCTTTGCTGAGATGGAAACACAGTTGGTCACACTTAAACATATCTACAGTATATTCACTGAACGCGTAGGAACACAAATGCAGCCTACTCACTGCATTCAAATTAATAAAACACTATGTACAGTTAAATTGTAGTCTTCCTCATATTTAGACATTGGTTTTTCTTTGTGTCAACAATGTTCACCCTGTGACTGTTTGTATGTTGTTTGAAGCATGATCGCTGTGTAACTGAATACACCACAGCCCTTGTTGTCCAGTGGATAGATCGAGGTTGGTGTTGCAGTGCAGACAGATGTCCCGATGGTTAATCCCACACTGTGCATTATGGGAATTACTGTTGACTATTCCTCTAAAAGATAAAACTATGGTAAAGCCGGAGGTGACCTATTGATTCTCCATCTGGATCATGACATGTAAAACGACTAAAGAGTTGACCTTTGTAGAAATGACTGAGTATGGTGTTGATGGTGACAGAGGTGGTAAAACCACTTTAAATTTACAAGTGAATTAAATTTAGAGCATCTGCCTTAATGTTTTACTGTACTCAAAATAATCACAGACTATAGTTTTATTAGTGAATGATAGAAATTTTTTTTTTTAGCTATGTGCTTCTTATGTCCTACTAGTTTGTAAGAGTTAATGTAGAATGACTTATCTTCCAACGTAAAGTGGTAGGCCACCCTGTTGTGTCACAAGGGTGAAATAATCCATACAATTACTTTTGTAGGACACAGTTTACGAATAGGGTTGCATTGATTGACCGGTTTCAAGGTATACCGTGATATAAAAGTTGAGAGTTATCGTACTGTGCATATTTGCTTGACTATGATATTTTTAAAAAATGCACCTGGACGGAGAATCTCCCACTTCCATAACCAACATGGTTTTGAGTCTCAATTATAGTAATAAAACGTTTGTTCAACCAAAAATAACCCTTAAATTTTCATTCCTTTAAGGGTCATTCTGACTGATTAGAATATAAATTCTGTAATATCATGAAACCGTGAAACCACAATATTTTCTGAGATGGTTATTGTACCGTGAAAATCTCATACTGTTGCAACCCTAGTTACGAATCAACCAGGGCCCTTGAATGCAATGAGTAAGTTGTAGTTGCTTTGTAGTTGTAGTTGGAGGTTTTTTGTTAATAAACACCATAAAATGCACCTCAGGACTTCAGCATGAATTTCTATCAAGAGTCACAGATGACTGACAGAACAGATGTACAGTAATTGCGTAATGATGGCAGTAGGCAGCCACAGCTTGACCACTGGGCTTTAAATCATCAAAATATATTTAGGATTGTCAGGTGTAGAGGTTTGTTCTTATTTATATTTCCTCACTTTAGTTTGTGTGATTTGTTTCAGTAACTGACTGGAGATAAGATTCCTATTTATTATTCATAAATGATTTTCACACAGGGCCTGATGTTGTGCAGTGCTTTGTTCTTTTTCAGATTCTATTTAAGTTAAGTCATGATGGTTATATTACGTGTTTACAAGGCTTGAAGTCACAAGGTATAGTATAGTTCAGTAAGTTCAGTGCATTTTATATGATGATTGTATCTAATGTTGTGTTGGTCATACTATAGAATGATTTATTGCTTGTGGATAGTGAATAATACAGAAGATAAGGTTGTCATTTTTTAATTGCAGATATATTATTTTACTATAACATTCAGTCATACCAAGTGCTGATGCATCTAGTCAGGATACTCTCAATGGTGCACCTGTAGAAGCTGCAGAGTATCCTGGAGTCCATATGCAGCCTCCTCAGCCTGCAGAGAAAGAAGAGCCTTTGTTTTGTTGTCTTTGTGATGGTGAGTCCAGGGGCCTGTATCACGGAGCGAGATCAACCTTTCCTGGGTTACCCAGACCTATCCTGGGTTGACTAACCCTAACAATGGCAATCAGGATAATCGGTATCATGATGCTGGATATCAACTTTGTAACTCAACCCAGTGTTGCTTTATCAAGAGCCGTGAACGCGCACGCAGCAGACCAATCACAATCATGAGAGAAGCGCTGCGTCACTGAGCGTCCTCATGGAGCGCCGTATGTGCAGAGAAAAAAAGTATTTCTCGTGAGGATCAGAGATTAATTCTACTAAAATATGAGGAGGAGAAAAGCAACATTAGAGAAAAGGCCAACACCGTGGCAGCTGCAGGAGGAGGAAACATGCGTGGCAACACATAATGGGAAGAATAATGTTTAGTTTTAGTTTAGATTAGTTTATTTGCACATAATGTTAAAAACAGACAGTATAAAATTTACAAGATTAAAAAAAGAAAAGTGTCGGAGAGGTTAGAAGCCACTAAAAGCTTATCAAAGAAATTCCCCTGTCAAAACATCAATGAAATCACATAATAGAGAAGAAAAAAAAAAACGGGTAAGGAAAGAAGAAATAGAGGAGGAGAGAGGGAAAAATCAAAACAAAACAAGGTAGCAAATAAAATTATGTGTAGGTTAAATTACTCATCACAGGTTCAAGTAGCTACAGTACCTGTACCTGTACATCTGACACTGATCACACCCTTGAATCCCATGAAATCAATGCTGCGCAGATGAATTGCGTGTATTACAATTATCGTCTAACATCATTGCGTCTGATGAATTGGTCTTCTTTGTCATAACGTTATATATGCTACAATAAAGCTTAAAACTGACGCCACAATTAAATCATATCAACACCAAATTGATAGTCTGAATAAAATCATCCTGATATTGAGCTGTGTTAGAAATTAACAGCTGCGCAAAAATATACCTAGTCTCCCTCTTTAAAAAACAAAAAGGAAAATCCCTCAAACACCATGAAGTGTAGACATGATAGGCTACTTTCCACATTTCCAGCAGCAAAGCTGTCAATTAGGCCCATTATCTTTAACAGGGATCATTTCCTTCAACAACAAAAAAAATGTTGGCACTAATTAATGGTGCTGTTAAGTGTCCGCAAATGATGAGTTTCTTTCTTATGAAGGGGTGGGTTGATATTTCGACTTCTTTCCACTCCTTTTTGAACAATCTTTTCATTGTCTGTTGTTGTTGCTTTCTTTTTTTTTTTATTGTTCAAAATAAACTTTCAAATCAAAATCAATCAAATGAATTAAACTTCCCGTCATGACTAGGCTGCATTTCTGTCAGCGGAGTCATTTTTTTCCGAACAGCTGATTGGCCAGTGGGTGGTGCTTTTTATAGGATCAGATTCAACCCTGAACTTATCCTGCTCCAGAGCAGGATAGCCGTTCAGAGTAAGTTACCATGGTGATCTACCCCGATAAGAACTGAACCGGCTTCGTGAGACCGAAAACCCAGGGTTAACCCTGAAGTTACTTCACTAAGACATTAATCCTGCTTCGTGATACAAGCCCCAGGTGAGGTTCTCACTGATGTGACCCTGAGGAACCTGAAGCTGTTGACTGTTTTCACATTGACCTACTGATGGTGTCCTTCTCCCTGTTGCTTCCTGTAGTTCACAATCAGCTACTTGTGCTGCACTTCCACTGCATGGAATGGGAAATCTCTACTCAACTCGACTCACTCTTGTTTTTTTTATACCGCCCCAGTTGAAGTTATAAGTGAGCTGAGTTGGTACTAGGAGGTGAAGTTCAAACACTGCAGACCAGTGATTGAGCCGAGAGAACCATCACATATATCTTCACTTGTGCAACACAGGACAGCCTGCTCAAATCCACTAAGCATAAGTCAATATTGACTGCAGTTTTTTTATTCACTGACCAAAGTTTGAATAAAATGGCATCTCACTAAA